CTTCACTCCTCAAAGCCAAAAAATCTTTTCTATTATTTCTCTTATCTTATTTTTTTTTCTAACAATATAAAAGTATTATGAGTAATTTATATTTCCCATGAGAAAGATATAAAGAAAAGAAATTGGCAAGATTTGGAGATCAATAGTAGAGAAGGCTCAAGGTGTCAAATGACTAATGTTTCTATAGACCAAACTATTAATTTTTATAAAGATCTTCATTAAAGGTATGTATTTTATTTTTTGCATAATTATTGGTAAAAAGATTGATTGAATGAAATAAACACGTTAATAATTTATTTCATTAATATGTAAAGTCAAACCATAATATGCAAAATATTGATTACATTGTATAAATTTATGCATATATTGAAATTGACTCCACAATTGGATTTAATGAATTGTATTATATTTATTTGAAAAATCTATGCTTATAAAGATTGAGATGAAAAATAGCCTGAAAACATAAAAAAGAAAGACATGAATTGATTTATGACAAAAATATTATCACTTGTTATCAAGTAACGAATTAAATTGGGTTTTAATGGAATAACCAATTGTTTAATTGTCATAGCTTAATTATATATAAAATAGGCAAATTGTCCCATGGTTTCTATGAAAACAATCAGAAATGAGTAAAAGAATTTACCATGAGAAATTAGATGTAAGTGGAGAATATATGCAGAAAATAAGATTTGGCTACAATATTAATTTTATTATTAAATCATGGCACCAAAATTGAGATAATAAGTTAAGTCAAGCTATTTGTATGGTTTTATCTTTGTTGGTCGTTTATCAATCAAATATGGAAATATATATTTTAAATTTATTATTGGTTCAAATTTTAACTAGTGTTCAATTTTCATGAAAACCAATTAAAATTAAATTGATTATGTGAATAATTATTATTAAGATATGGTGTTTCATGGATTAGTTGGTGGATAATAAACTAAATAATTGTTATTATCATAAATATAGGCATATGACATGTATAAAATAAAATTTTATTATGAACAATCACAAAGTGAAAATCATAAATAGTCATCAAAGAGCTAATCAATGGTTACAAAAATGCATTGTTGCTTTTTGCATATGGGATATTGATTAAACGAAAAGGCATGCCATTAAAAAATATTGAAGCATTTGATGGTTACTAGCATTTTGAAGGATGTTCATCAATGTCTAATTAGTCATATTTATAAATTTGAAAAGAACATGCAAATTTAATGTTCTAAAGGTACTAATACATGTATGTGTTTAATTTCATTTTGTGATGACGTGGAAAACATTGGTACAGTTTACCATATATTACGAAAATAAATTGAATGGGATGAAATTTTCTTTCTTATACATATAAAAAAGATATGGAATATAAAGATAGAATGTTATCATCTAATTAATACATTATTAGTTAAAGATAATGAAGATATTTTTGCTTCTTGTACTCAAAAAAATGGCCTTATGCAAGCTATTAAAATGAAAAGTGAACAAGTTTTCAAGGTTTTCAATAGTTTCATGACAATGGCAAAGGCTTAGATAATAATATTGGTTTGTGAAAGTCCTAAGCCTTAGAGTTAGCTAATCAATGATTTTACCAATGCAAATTTATCACAAAATTTTGCATGAAATATTAGTAGAACTTATATTATAATTATTATTTATACTATTTTATGCAAATGATTCTTTGGATTCATGTTTCATGACTTGCATTGATATAGTGATCTAGATATGAATATATTGGTCATAAAATGATTGTGAAAGTATTGAAATTGGAGTTAAATATACTAAAGACTTTTATTGTATATAGGCATATTGGTCATATGAGTAAAGTTTGAATTTATTATATATTTTAAAATGTTATGAGCAATTAAAAGTGGTAACTAATAGAGATATATAGGCTACACAATGGTAGAGAAATAAAGTTCTCATAAAATTTTGAAATCAAGTTTAGAGCTTTCAGTAGTTATGAATTTAGAATTGGCCATTAGGCAATTACTATATGCATTGAAAACTCATAATAACATTTGAGATAGTTGATTTTTACTAAAAATCATCATTATAAATAAGATAACTTCAATAGCCAAATCTACATGATTTGTAAGTATGATGTAGACTATTATGATTGGCTTAAAATAGCCATAAGTCAAAATTGATACCACAATCTTGATCACATTATGGTAATTTTTTGTTATGTATATGATCTAATTCATGAATTGTACAAATGATTTATCATTTATGGTTTTATATAGTGGATATTTTAAAATATATTTACTTTGGAAGCCATGTGTGATTTAAAAATCTTATGAATTTGAAACTTTTATAATAGCAAAAAGAATGTTATTTGATCCATTTGGTTGATGAAAATGGTTTTGTTCATGGTAATAAAAATTATTATTAATGTCCATGATGAAATAAATTCATATAAGTATTTATGAATTGACATAAAAAGTTTAAAGGAGACTATAGAATCATAATTATATTTAAATTCTATTTATTGAAATAAACTCCTATATTGAGTTAAAATATAAAAGTTTTGAAACTTTTATAGAAATATTAAGATATTTGCTAGTTAGTTTCAGTAAGAGTGGATTTGAAAGCCTCTTACTTAAAAAAAAAAAAAAATCACCAAATAGTGAAGAGATAAATGAAATGGCAACTTTGATTAAATATATATGATATCTTGAACAATTTAATGAGACATTCTTTAATAAAAGAATGCATACTTGCACATGGTAGGGATGATAAGAATAAAAAAAAATAAAAATTACTAGTATAGTGTTGTAAGATTTTAGTATAATTTTATAAGCAAATTATACAAGCTAATAAGTTTAGACACTTAAAGTAAAATCATAAAAAGGTCCTTAAAAAATCTTAAAAGGACTAAAATTGTTTAGTTTATTTATTGAGTTTATCCAATTATACTAGAAGTATAATTGTTTAAAAATGTATAAAAGTATGGAAATAAAATGGTTGAAATTAATGAATAGAGAATTATGGCCACAACCAAAACCAACTATTTCATAAAATAATAAGAATGAGGCAACAATGTTTAGAGCATATAAATGATATGTAAAATGAAAGTTTTGGACATATTAGCTTAAAGTGATTATATTAAAGATTTAATCTTAAGTGGAGGTATTTACCATAAAAGAAAATTGAATTCTAAGATATTTGGTTAATAGTACTACAAGTAGAATGGATTTAAACCCTTACTATTAGACATCATTAATGGAAATCTAACTTTGAATTAGTAACCTTTAATTACAAAGTTTAATGAGTAAAAATAAGCTATTGTTATATGTCTATTAAACACTAGTAAAATTCATTCAAATTTTAAAAACTAGTGTGATCCATTGCGTAGAGAAAATGGGTTTTTATGCTCTTAATAAAGTTTTAAATGTCTAAAGCAATGGAGACATAATGAAAACTTTATCTATATAAAGATAGAAGAGGTGTTGCTTCAACAAGAAGAATTATGGTCTCTCTTGTAAATGTTTATAAATAGGATAAGTACATGGTTATAATAGTGCTAAAAATGATTATAAACCTTTGACAGAAGAATAAATAAGTATTATATGTGTTATATTTTCAATTCTTACATTAGGAGTTAAGGTTTAATCTGTAAAAACCATCAACTTTGTTAAAATTCTAATATATATACACTAATTGAAGGTTTAAATCAAGAGATATCTTCTTGTATTCATAATATTTATTTGTGTGAAAAGAAAAAAATTAAACACCAACATTCTAAACTAATAGAAGATTGTTAGTAGTTTAGAATATAGTGTATCTCACATTGGATAGAAAGATTTAATTATTGATAAATAAAATTAATTTTTGTATTAATTTTATTCATATTTTAAATAATTATTTTTTAATAGAAACAATTATCATATGACAAATGATCAAAACTATTTGAATATAAATAAATTATTATTCATGCCATAATTATACAAAAAGTCATAACCATCTGAATAGATATTTATGTTTGTTCATTTATTACAAATAAATTTTTCAATATGATAATTTTCACAACTTCAGATTGAAGAATTTGAGACTTTATTATATCCTAAACATATAATTACCTTTTAAAAAGTGTTCTTCAGGCCTCAAAATTAAAATTTTTATCTATTATTTCTTTTCTCTTATTTATTTTTTCTATTAGTTACAACCAACCACATGACAGTATTAGGTGTATGTTATATATTCACTTATATTAAAATAAGTTTTATAATTTTGTATTCTTAAATTAAATTACTAAAATTAAAACTATTATTTAATTTAAATTAATAAATATATATTTATTCCAACGTAAGTCTTAACATTTTTTTATCTTTAAATCAAAAATTAACACATAACTAATTTAAATTAAAATATTTTAATCCACTTACACAGGTTAAGTTTGACATTTAGAAAGACTTGCTTAATTAATTTGGGTTAAAATATTTTAATCCACTCAAACGAATAAAAATTTACACTTGGAAAAACTCGCAAAATGGACAAGTTCGGAAACTGATATGGAAATGGTCCCGTCATTGGGCCTAAGACCATGTTTTCAATGCCATCCCATGAACATGGACGTCATGTGCACTTCCTGTAGCCCTCCCCCGCAAATGAAATCATCACATTAGCTGGCTGTCACATAGAAAACATTCTGTTCTTGTCCCCTCACTGACGGAACAAAAATGTCTAGGTCTAACTTTAATGTGAAATTGATAATTAGCGGGCCAGTGCTACTGTTCAATTCAGTGAGTTGACCACAAAAACTGCTTGGGTTTGGTTTGGGTTTGGGTTTGGGTTTGGGTTTGGTTTTGAGTTAGGACCAGAAAAATAGTACATCTGCTGCGACTCCCACCACAAACAATAGTTTTTTGACTCATTTGTATTCTGCACATGGCAAACGCAAACCCACTCCGGCACATGAACCCCCATAGGTGATGCACCATTGTCATAATTTTCAGCTAGAATTATTGCTACCTCAGCAGAAATGCACTTCAAGTTCCAAATCAAAACCTCAACCTGCTTTAGTATTTCAACAATGCTTACACAACTATCACACGGAAACAAGTGTAGAGTACTTGCCATCCCTGTACTCACATAATCAGATTTCTTACCAGCATTTTTCTTTCATTTTCTCCATTAGAGCAACAAAAAATTCATAAAACTAACTACAATACCTAAACCAAATGAACGGGGGAAAATTATATAGAATTCATATAGATATGTACAGAAAATCTAGTGGCTGCGGTGTCTCATGGCAATGCCATTTCCGGACACAAACTAATCTTCTCTGGAATCTAGAAGTAGATATGCAATTCAAAGCTCCAAAATCCATCAGTTGCCTGCATCTGAGGCATGTTTTCGATATCAACTATAGGCCACTTCAAGGCATCAGAATATTAACAAATGTGAGGATGATGGTTGCCCTTGTTCTCAGCAGCTAAAACCATTTTTCCACCAAGTCTAGGGGTTCTGGTGCATTCTGCTGTCCAGCCTTGAATCTGGATCATCACTCCTATCAGCATCAGAGTTTTTCCTCTGGGGATCAGCATCTGAATTCCCTGCCTGATTCCTTCGGCGTCTTCTATCCTGAAAATTTCATCCAGGATACATATTAGGAGTCAAGTTACAGACCATAAACTCCTATCAGACAATTTATTGAAAAGCAAGAACTCGCTATCCTCTAGCATGGTACTTCAAGCATTTGGGTATTATCATCATTTTGTCAGAAATTCAACGCAACTTCCACAAGTTTAAGTAACAAAGCAAAGTAATTATGATTAACTGAATATTGTAAAGTATCAGAATCAAACCTCTCGAGGAATAGGATACTCATCTGATTCAAGCATGCGCACAACCTGACTCATCTTTGGTCTTTTATCAGCATCAGGATCAACACATCTCAAAGCGGTCAAAAGAGCCCGTTTAAGAGCACTAGTTGATGGTCTAGTCTCTATGTTAGGGTCAGCTACTTCCTCTGAGCGTCTGAGTTGAACCATTATCTTTAGCCACTCAACCATATTTACCTGAGAGTTCATGGTGCAACAGATTTACATCAAAAGAACTTTGTGCTATGTCCTTAATAGTTGGACAGTTGGATAGGAAGAATCAATAAACACAAGCATCAGACATCATGAGATAATCAAGGCTGCAAAGAGCTTTAGAGTAATTTTAAGCAAATATGTTTCAGGCACATAGGAATTAAAGACTTCAAAGCAAACATCTATCTGGTACAAGTACAGAAGATGAAAGCATCTCATAACAACAAATAACTCCTCAGGATAAGCACAGCATATAAAAGCCTTTTTAAAACCTACACTAATAAAGAAATGTTCCTCTGTACCTCAGGCTGAGGGCGACCATAATCTACTGGGTATCTTCCAGTAATTGCTTCTAAGAGCACAACTCCAAAGCTATAAACATCACTCTTCTCATTCAGGAGGCCAGAGTTGGCATATTCTGGAGCAACATAACTGGAAAATCGAGCAAGCAGGAGAAAAAGACTAAATTAACCAATGATTTTTCAGCTTCTTCAATGATACAACTTACTCCTTAGGGTAAAAACAAAAAGAGGTGAAAACCCTAAACCCTAAAAAGGAGAATGAATGAACTAGTGAAAGTTGAAAAAATCAAGGCAGTTGATTGTAAAAGAAGGCATTATTCTCACCCAAAGGTACCCATAACTCTCGTTGTGATGTAACTTTTCCCATCTCCTAGCAATTTGGCCAGACCAAAATCAGATATCTTAGCATCAAAATTGTCATCAATCAATATATTACTCGATTTTATATCTCTATGCACAACTTTTGGTTCAATAGCCTCATGCAAATAAGCCAACCTGCAACATTTAATTTTGAGCAACAAATGAGATTAAAGCCAAGTTAAGCATTAACAACCAAGATTTAGTTAAAGGCAGACTTACGCCTTCGCAGTGCCAAGAAGAATCTTTATGCGAGCCTCCCAAGTAAGATATCCCTTGTGACACATATCTCCACGGAGCCATTGCTCCAAATTGCCATTATTGACATATTCATAAACCAACATCCTGGATTTTATAGCAGAAAATTTATAAAACATCAATAAAGATCTCTTTCCTTTCTATGCAAACTGGATTATAAGAACACTGACACATAGAGGTAACAATTCTTTAACTAACTCACATACAGGGAAACAAAGTCACAGCAGCCCCCTCAACTGCGCAAATCATAGGGGAGTGCATAAAACAACATTTTACCTTTGCGTGCCCTCAATGCAGTACCCAAGAAGTTGAACTAAGTTTTTATGCCGCACATGACCAATGGCTTCAACTTCCACCCGGAAATCCTTGTCAGCTTGTCCCCTAAAAATAAACATAGAATAATTATCAGCTAATCTTACAAGGTTTGGACAGCATAACACAAGCAAAAGCTTTAATCTTTCACAGAAATAAGCTTCTCCGCAACATACGGATTGTTAAGGAGCTTTTTGACAGCTACAGGGGTACCATTAATCAGATTGCCTCTATAAACGACTCCATATCCGCCATCACCAATAATATTATCCTTTGAAAACCTGTTAGTTGCAAGCTGTAGGTCTCTCAGAGTGAACCAATGACCCCAGCCTAGGTGCGAAAATTCAGGCAGGCCAGACAAAGGTGAAGGAGCAGTCAAAGGATGTGAAGAAGGCCTGTATGTGGAAAGTGGCCCAGTGCCTTCCTCTTTTCCTGGTTGAGATCCTTTAACATTTTTCTCCAAATGATTAAAGGAACCATACAGGCCACTATCATCTCCATTATCTACATTAAACAAAACATTCTCTGAATCTCGGTAACTGAATTTATTGTTAAGGGTGTTCAGACCATCCTTGTTCGCCGACACTTGGTCAACTCTTATCTCTTTAATTTCCTCTGAAACATAAGGTGCTTGCCTAAAAGGAAGAATGTCATTAGCCCTTCTGGATATCTTTCGGAAACTAAGCCACAGAGATATGCCAAGGATAACTAAAAAAACCACTCCTAAGCCAATAACAATAAGCACCCACAACTGCAGACCAATGTATGTTTTTGACAAAGTTCTGTTCAGATCAGATGCCATTTTCACCATCACCAAGATGCCTGAAAATGTTTAACTAAAAGAATTTAAAACCACAATCTGCATCTAATAATAAAAAACTGATCTATATTTTGCACTTATTCAAAATATTAATGGATTTATGACAATTTTCCAATCAAACCTCCCTTCTAATCACATAAGATATTAAACTGAATATACGTGCATAAAAAGAGGAAAGAAAAAACTATTGAGTTTCAGGGTAAAAGAATCACATCCAATACATGGTAGCATATCCCATATTTCACAGTAAAACAAGTACGGTGAGAAAGCAAGTATTGAAAGACAAGGAACAACAGATTGATAAGAAAATCACACCTTCAACCACAATCAAGTTTCCCAAAACGAACCCAAAGAAAGACCCTTCAGCCACACAGAAGGTAAAAAGAAAGCAAAGAGTTTTCTTTAAATCAAAGTCCACCGACTACCAAAACTTTTTCAAGCAATAAACAAATATCAAAATCAAATAGAAATAGAAATACCATCACACTTCCAACCAACACCCTACATTTGACGAATCATCACACACAATGAACCATTCAGACTGAACCAGATATCATATTTCCAACGACAACAAAAAAAAAAAAAAAACGAATTTCAAGCATTACTCAACAGGATCAATCAAAAAATAAAAACTTTGAGCATTAGATGCCAATAAACGCAATGACAAGCAAATGAATCAAAACAAAGTACAAACCTTGTTGAGACACAGCTGGTAAAAGGAAAAAAGAGCAAAGTTTACAACAGTGGGTGTTTATAAAGAAGAAAGGCGTAAACCTCAAAGGGAAGCACATTGAGGGGCTAGAAAACAGGGTGCTGCACCGCCAAAAGGAAAGTATTTTTCTAGGGTTTCCATGTGTCCAGGTTTCTGGGAAATGGGCTTGGATTTGGGGTATTGGGTGGTAAGAAGAAGATGTGGAGTTGTCAGAGTTAGTTAATGAGGAAAGACATAGATCATATTTTTTAAATAAAAATTTAAATAAATCAATATATTTATAAATTGAAACATCATACGTGTAAGGTTTTTTTTTTTTTACTGAATTATAATCTCTTATAAACTGTAAATACTATTTTCTTTCTACATTTTACTTTTTTTTATAAAGCATAATTTTTTCTACAAAATTTTAGAGCACGAAAGGTTTGTAAAGTGAATTATATTTAAAAGAATTGTTTTTTATCTTTAAAATTTTTTTGATTCTATAAGAATCTTAAACTTTGGAGTTATGGCGTTAAATTATAATACAACCTCCATATTGATTAGGCAAGCAAAATTAGTAGAATTCATATTAATAGGCTTTATTTTTATATGTATAGACCATAATTTATTCGGTCATTTTAATTTAGAGTCTTTTTATTATCAATTTTTTTTTTACAAAGAAAAATTTGTTTGTCGTTATTGCATCATTTTCCTTTTTTTTTTTTTTGTTTTTGGTAAGAGTATCATACATTTTGATGAACTCAAAATTTGAACTTGAGCTAAGATAAACCACATAATTAAGGACATCTTCGCTGACATAGCTTTCTCTATGACTAGGCCATATAAGACTTGATGTCACAGTCTAAGAATGAGCCATGAATCCTACATCAATTATGTACTAAAGTTGATCATAAGTTATAAGGGTTCACACCACTTTCTCCTTGTGAGGCACCTTTTGTAAGATAAAATCATGAGGTCAAGGAAGGGTCGAAATAGACAATACCTCATAAGGGCGTGAGCCATGATAGTTAGGTTGATCTGAAATGTCGGATAAGTCCATGCTTGAGTCCTATCGTTGCATGAGCTTAGAAGTTAAGTTTCAGCCTGTGACAAGTGGTATCAGAGCCAGTTTTAGGGGTACTAACAATGTGCCACTAAGGATGGTGGGCCTTCATTAGAGTGAATGAGGATGTCACGATCTTAAGAAAGAGCCATGAATCTCACATTGACTGTGTATTAGAATTGGTCATAGAATATAAAGCGTCACACTACCTTCTTTTTGTGAGGCACCTTTTATAAGACAAAACCATGAGACCAAGAGGGGATCGAAGTGAACAATACCTCGCAAGGTTATGAACCGTGATAGTTAGACTGATCTGAGATGTTGGATGAATCCATAACCGAGTTTTGAAGCCATATGAGCCTGGAGGTTGAGTCCGACCTGTGACTAAAGTTTAATATTTCATAAAGTTTGCAACGAGCATTAATCAACATGTGAATATTGCCTGTTTATGGACTTCTTTCATAAATGAATGAAAAGTCATACTTTTAGTTTATATTGTTGTTTACAATTTCTAATTATAGGTAGAATCTCTAATCAGAGATATATGCAATACAACTTTAAATGCATTTTATGAATTAAAAGTAAGTTGATTTTAAATTTCTTATGTCGTAAATAGCTTGTTAAAGTGAATGGCTTTTCTACTTGAATTGTTTATTTTTGTATCCAAAGCAATTGTAGATGGTATATTTTATATATTATTGAATTCTTATTATTTATGATCTTGAGCTAATAATAATTTTTTATTGTTTCAATCACTATAGGGGATTAGGTTTTTAGTGGCATTTTTTTTAACGTTTAGCAGCGTTTATAAATGCCACTAAAAGATTTGCGACGTTTGTAAAAAACATCACTCAGAGTGCTGGTTATTAGCGACGTTTTTGAAAAAAATGCCTCAATGTTAACGATATTTATATATGAAACACCACCATTTTAGCAGCATCTCTATCTTTGAGATGCCATTAAATTAGTGATATTTTTATAAGAAAAATATCGTTGCTTTGATAGGGTTTGTAACTGAAAACATCGCTACTTTAGAGGCATTTGTATCTAAAAATGTCTCTATATTAGCGATATTTTTTTCTTTGAGATGCCGCTAATTTAGTGGAGTTTTTATGAAAAAAATATTGTTGCTTTGGTGACGTTTGTAACTGAAAACGTCACTACTGTAGAGGCGTTTGTATCTAAAAATACCTCTATATTAACGGCATTTGTATCTTTGAGACGCCGTTAATTTAGTGACGTTTTTATGAGAAAAACGTCGTTGCTTTGATGGCGTTTGTATAAAAACGTCACTTAACTAGCGACATTTGCTGGTAAGAGCGTCGTTACTTTTAGTGGCATTTTATGATACAAACCTACTAAATTATTCATTTAGCGACATTGTTGACCACAAACACCGTCATTATGTAAAAATATTTTTTTTTTAATTTCTGTTAATAAATTTTATTTTCATTAAAGAGCTTAAATTCATAAACTGAAATTAATATAAACTTAATTCACGTTTAAATATGCATCTAATTAATATAAAGTTTAATAATTAGTATAATAACATTCAAATATTTTTAATACATTAACAAAATAAAAATTAAAATATATGACATAAATGACTGCATACATTTTGTTGGCTACAATTAATGAAGAAAAATTTTCACCTTGGTCACTAGCGTGCTTAAGAACCTACTGAATAATACCATACAAATTTTAACACTTCATTATAAGCTTTGTTTATATTTAAAAATTTAAATATTTACTAAATATAATTCCTGAGTTGGTAGAGCACCAAGATCATTTCCTAAAAATTATTGTTACATAAAATTAATAACATGATCGAATCAATCATGCAACTGTTGAAATTTTGTACGCTCTTGCTCCATTATAACATGTTTTTCTTCAAATTTGGTATGTACTTGTTCTCTTTCTACTTTCAGTTGCTGAAAACGTTATTGCATAATTTGCAACTCCCATTTCATTATTGAAATATCTCGCGAAGACTGACTTGCTAAAAATATAATTTGTTGAGAGCTATATCCATAGTAGGTAGATGGTATTGAACCCAATCCAAGGCCTCGGACCCATCCATGCCTTTCTTTTTTAGCAACTTCTATGAATATCTGATTTTTCATTTCTTGCATGTTAAGAGAACCATCAGATGCTACTTCAATCTCAACAGCCAATTTCTCTTTTGCTTTTTCCTATGAATTTGTCATATACTACTATTAAATTTAATGATTAATTGATAATATGCTAAAAAGAGTAAATATTTACTTTCTGTTAAAATAGATGATACAAATTACCACAATTTTTTATGTTTCGATATTTATATAAGATCTGTCTTTTTTTATGTGTTATGCGAAAAAGTTTCATACATCCAATTGTACCCCCATCTCATTCTCTTATACAATAATATATGTTATTTGATAGGATACATATCAAGCGTAACTTATTCATGCATATCAAGCCTGTCAATCAAGTATTGATATTTCGAATAATTTTAATCTCATATATTTATATTTTGGCCTCATAACAACATAATAATCTTAAACATAAGCAAATAATAAAAGCATTTTCGGCTTTTACACATATCGATCATGAAAACCAAATTTAATTATTTTCTCCCAGTTTAATATCAAGGATTGAAGCCATTCAATATGTTGAAAGCCATCCAAAAGTTTAATTTGTATATTTGACTTTTATATGCATAAATAGTCCCAAACAGACATAAACAACAACTTTTTCTCCCATATCAGCCGTAGAAATCAAGTTCAATCAATTGGACAAGTTTAATATCAAGTATTAAAGCTATCCAAACTATTAAAATACAACAATAACAACAATTTTGTATTTTTACCTAAATATATGTAAACAATAATTTTTTCATACATATCACCTGTGTCAACTAAGTTCAAAACTTTCGATAAGTTTAATATCATGTAATGAAACTATCAAAACTATTAAAACAGAACAATAACTATTATTTTGCATATTTACCTTTTAATGATAGAAAAAGTTCATTCATTGAAATAAGTTTATTATCATAAACTTATTATTTCTTTTTTGCTTTCTTGCAAAACTTTTTGATCCACTTATATGGCTATATTTTTGTTGCTTTTTGCTACCAATCCCAATTTGTTCTCTTTTTTGTCATAAAAAATAATTGCGTATATGATAGAAATACAAATATTACCAACTCAAACTATAAAACACTTTCATTATTTCATTCTACTATACAAAGTTATAAACTAGTACCTCTCCTTTTCTTGAGAACCAAAATCTAACTAATTATTCATATTACCACCTAATCACATTACGGGGTAGATTTTTCATCATCGCCTCTACAATAGTATTTCGATCGAAATACTTATTCTTCAAACTATGCTTATAATCTTTCTATTTCTTTCCCAATGATTTAAGCACAAATAAAGTTGATATTTTAAGTACAAGTCTTGATTGTAATAATACAATAAGAAAAGTTTGAATAAGTAAACAAAATGTAAAATAAAAAATTTTTTATATCTAATTAATTATACTAATACCTCAATAAAGTTTAAAGCATCAACTTTAACTTTTTTTGGATCTTTATGCCATGTTCATAATGAATAGGCAATTTCATTCCATTATGGGCTAGCATGCCTAAAAATCTAGCTAATAGTTGAGCCTCTTCACCAATTGGTTACCTATCAGAGTTTACAGACACTACAATACACTCGTTAGGAGGTAGTGCAAACAATTCCTTCAAAGTTATCCGACCTTTGGTCCTCTGTTGACTATTGTTATCAACTGCAACAAATAAAAAATAAATTTGTAAAATCACAATACTTTTATCATTATACTCGAATTCTAAAATTAGAGTATATCATACATGCATTCAAATTTAAAGTATAATCAATTGATAGAGTACTATCTAAACCTGGACCTCTCGTATTGCCAGATCCAATATCAGTTGAAAGGTTAGAAGTGACAGAGTTAGATCTGAAGTACATTCATTTCCCTTCAAAGGATTCAGTCCATAACCAATATCTATAGGTGTCGCAGACGATTTTGAATTAATATCTCTAATATGTTTTCCTTTCAACCTACTCCTCTACATTGTCGTTACCCTACATCATAAAAGCAAATATAGAAAAGATATTAGTTTAGAACATATATAAAGACATTGAGAAGTTAAGAAATCAAAACCTACGAT